CACAATCATCCATATCAACCTCGGTGCTAATCAACCCACCATCCTCAACCTCCCACAACGGCTCAACAAGAACAGTGCCGTTGGAATTAACAATGCAGGATCCGCCACGAGAGACGAAGTCGTCGCCCTTGGAGACGTCGCCCTTGACCCATGCGGGCAAATGGCTCTTTCGCTGGCACTGGTTGGCTGAGACAACTACACACCTACCCTCGCAAGCAATCATGCGCATAGCGCTCAACCATGTGTCACGGGCATCGGCCGTTGGCGCCAAAAACAGATTGACGTTCTGGTTGTACAGACTTTGTCTGAGGAGCGGCATGTAGTTCTCCCAGCAAATAGCAGCAGCCATGATAATCTTAGTACCGCGAATCTCCGTGGTAACAGCTCTCAGCGAGGAAGCCGCTCCCTGGCCCCAAACAAGTCTCTCGCTGCCCGTCTGTTCCCCACCTCCATCAGCTCTCGCTTGTCATGTGATATTACCAAAAGAAAGAGTGGTGGCAACATCCAATACATACCGGCATCAACTTCCTCCTCTTCCCCAAAGCGCCATGCACAGGATCCACGTATATAGCACCACAGTACAAGGTTCCCCCACACCTCTCAATTAGTCCCACAACGAGGAAAACGCCCGTCTGCTTCGAAATCCTCTCCAGCTCCTCTCTCGTCCCATCACCTCTCACGCCCCCATTCTTCGGCGCAGGCAAAGATTTCTCAACCCAAGCGTCGCCAGCTCCCTCAGGGGTATCCCCCAAATCAACCGCTGCGCGGAAGTACTGGAGGAACTGCTCACGGCCGGCGTCGGAACGTGAGCCGATCACGGCGCCGAAGTCACAGCCTCGCGGATAGCCGCCTAAGTAAGCTTCGGGGAAGAGCAGGACATCGATGTTTTGCGCTGCTGCTTTCTTGGTGATTTCCTCGAGGTCGGTTAGAGTTTCGGTGAGGGTGTTTAGAGTGCGCGCTTGAGCGGCGCCGACTTTGATGACGGATGGCATTTTGAGGTTAAAGAGAGACCAGCGAATCAATATTATTAATTAGGACAGGCTTGAAAATGGTAGATTTGTGGTTTTTGACTTTTGCTACAAGAGGATATGGGAGCAGATGTCGTCTCTAAAAGAAGTCCCATTGGTATAAATTAGATGGCCATCGTAGGATTTGGGTTGACCTAATTAACGTTCATGGTATGCAAGGTCCGAGCCTACCGAATAACGTAATACAAAAAATGTGAATCCACACCGGTGCGCGTATAGCAATTTATTTACTTGACATTAGGTTTAGTTTTAAGGGGTTTAAGGGAGTTAAGGGATTTAAGTTAACCTCTTTAATACAAGGCTTAGACCGGCACTTAGACACGGGAGAACATTTACTAAGTAAATGTTCTCCCGTGTCTAAGTGCCGGTCTAAGCCTTGTATTAAAGAGGTTAACTTAAATCCCTTAACTCCCTTAAACCCCTTAAAACTAAACCTAATGTCAAGTAAATAAATTGCTATACGCGCACCGGTGTGGATTCACATTTTTTGTATTACGTTATTCGGTAGGCTCGGACCTTGCATACCATGAACGTTAATTAGGTCAACCCAAATCCTACGATGGCCATCTAATTTATACCAATGGGACTTCTTTTAGAGACGACATCTGCTCCCATATCCTCTTGTAGCAAAAGTCAAAAACCACAAATCTACCATTTTCAAGCCTGTCCTAATTAATAATATTGATTCGCTGGTCTCTCTTTAACCTCAAAATGCCATCCGTCATCAAAGTCGGCGCCGCTCAAGCGCGCACTCTAAACACCCTCACCGAAACTCTAACCGACCTCGAGGAAATCACCAAGAAAGCAGCAGCGCAAAACATCGATGTCCTGCTCTTCCCCGAAGCTTACTTAGGCGGCTATCCGCGAGGCTGTGACTTCGGCGCCGTGATCGGCTCACGTTCCGACGCCGGCCGTGAGCAGTTCCTCCAGTACTTCCGCGCAGCGGTTGATTTGGGGGATACCCCTGAGGGAGCTGGCGACGCTTGGGTTGAGAAATCTTTGCCTGCGCCGAAGAATGGGGGCGTGAGAGGTGATGGGACGAGAGAGGAGCTGGAGAGGATTTCGAAGCAGACGGGCGTTTTCCTCGTTGTGGGACTAATTGAGAGGTGTGGGGGAACCTTGTACTGTGGTGCTATATACGTGGATCCTGTGCATGGCGCTTTGGGGAAGAGGAGGAAGTTGATGCCGGTATGTATTGGATGTTGCCACCACTCTTTCTTTTGGTAATATCACATGACAAGCGAGAGCTGATGGAGGTGGGGAACAGACGGGCAGCGAGAGACTTGTTTGGGGCCAGGGAGCGGCTTCCTCGCTGAGAGCTGTTACCACGGAGATTCGCGGTACTAAGATTATCATGGCTGCTGCTATTTGCTGGGAGAACTACATGCCGCTCCTCAGACAAAGTCTGTACAACCAGAACGTCAATCTGTTTTTGGCGCCAACGGCCGATGCCCGTGACACATGGTTGAGCGCTATGCGCATGATTGCTTGCGAGGGTAGGTGTGTAGTTGTCTCAGCCAACCAGTGCCAGCGAAAGAGCCATTTGCCCGCATGGGTCAAGGGCGACGTCTCCAAGGGCGACGACTTCGTCTCTCGTGGCGGATCCTGCATTGTTAATTCCAACGGCACTGTTCTTGTTGAGCCGTTGTGGGAGGTTGAGGATGGTGGGTTGATTAGCACCGAGGTTGATATGGATGATTGTG